ATTCATTGTGATTATAAATCCTTTATAGCCTAACCAATCATATTTCACAACTATCCCTAAAATAGTGTTGCAAACCTGACAATTCGATGGTACGACCACTTACAGAGTGTCCAGAATAGAGTTGATCTCCTTACCTTATCGTCTCACCAGTAATTCTATCAGATCTATTGACATCTAAGAAATGATGTAAGAGTAAGTTTGAGAGTAGTGTGGGACTAAGTACTTGCAGAAGCCGAAAAAAAATGGCAATCAAATCTCATCTCAGACATTGCGAACACAATTTGACCTGTTTTAAAAATGGGAAAAAATAACAGAAATGGTGTGGAAAACAAAACTGATAAGGCTTTTGATGCAGTACTAGCAATTCAACCTTTTCTGTTTATGTATGTTGGCCAAATAGAACTCTCAATTTTTCAACGCACTTTTTAATTTCATAATAACCAATATCAAATCAAACTGACTAATCATGACAGCTACATTTTGTTGAAGCACTCTCAATATTAGTTTTTTTAAAATTATTTATTATTAATAGTTAAAAAGACATTTAAATAGCATCTAATAATGCCAGTTGTTTTTATAAATGCTTCAGTCGTAATTCTTTCCAAGGCATTGACAAATTGAGCGCGTTTGGTGAACTCAATTGTCTCTTCCTCTTACAATACATTAGTCTGATTGGGTCCGAACACTTCCCCTGGTTTTGGGATATCGCTCCGGTGATTCAGAATTGATTCGAGTTCAAAAAATATCCTCAAAGCACATTCCATTTCCCCGTCTTTCTATAAGCCGTGAGTGCCTTGTGAGCTTGACGTCTGATTTTCGAATTGGGATCCCTATTGAATACTTCCAGGGCATCGGAAACTTCCGATTCCAGGTGGGTTGGTGATCCATCACAGATGGTGTGCAGCACTTGACCTCTGACATCATCATCTGCAAATAATCAAGAAAAAACTCGTAAAAAAATATTCGTAGTTCAAATGTCTATGACACAAAAATCATCGTAGTTCAAACGACTATGGCGAAATTTCAAAAAGAAATTTCTCTAAGGATTTCTTTTTTCTCAAGAATTTGGAACTTGCAAGCTAAACTTTATCTTGGGTCGGAATTCAAGGTTTTCTCAGCAATCACAAAAACAGGGACCATTTTTTAGAAATTTTTATACGGATTTAATATTTATATGTTTATACATTAATATCTTAGATCAAGTTAACATCCTAATCCCCCCAAGAGACCAAGTTAAGATCCTCCACCCCAGCGTTCAGTTTGAATTAAATTTGCTAAGCGCTGCGTGTAAAACGCTCGATTCTGATTGGCTGAAAAATCGAACTCAGAACCAAGTAAACATCCTCCTCCCTAAACGTATTTGGGGGGGGGGGGGGGGGGAAGGATGTTAACTTGGTCCTATACCTTGTATCATTTTTCTCATTCTTCTATTCTAATTTTTCTCTTTAAAAATTTTAGACTAGTGAATATATGAAATTTCTACAAAATGATGGACTTACCCTCATCGTTGACCATCTGAAACACCCTGTCCCAAAATGGACCCACATCCTGCTTCACCCTACAGGGACACATCTGTTTCAGGGCGCTCCTCCTCACTCGGGGGTCTCCATGTTTAGTCAAGTCAACAACAGTGTCCACATCCTCAGTCGAACCACAAAGTCTGATTGCTCTTTTGGAGTCCATGTTGGAAGGCAAAACTTCGTCTGAGGTGTCAAAGTCGGTCATGTTTTTGGTTTTTTCTTCCAATTTAGTTACTGAACAAATATATTTGAAGTTGCAAAGGAGTTAAGTTTTTTAAAACTTTTTCTTTGTCTCCAATATTTCAACTGTTATTAAATTATTAAATTTTATACGCTGTTGAAGATTTTTTATGATGGTACTTTTTGTGAATATTTGGTGCGAGAATTTGCTCTGATAATGCAATTGCAGCTAATGCTATCCAAAAAATAATTCTACCGTAGTTGCTCTGACCAGGTGAACAAATAATAATACCGAACAGTACAGAGATTGCCAAAAACGTCATTTTTATGTAATGCTATTCTCTAATTTCGTTGACGTTTTCTGCTAAAAATAGCCAGCAATTCATTAAATGACATTTGAACAATAGTGATGTTAGAAAACTTATTTAATCAATATTAATCACAAATTACCCTTGAAAATTTAGGTGTGCGGCCAGCATGTCGACAAATGTCACACTACTCAAACTTGATTGGTTAAACAAGGATTCTGAAGCGTGATTTTGAAGCAGTAATCGTTCAAATCAATTACTGTTTCTCACTCAAAACTTTTCAAAATGATTTGATATTTGAGACAACACTATGGAAAACAAATTGTCCGGGAATACGGTATTTTTGTTCAGCTAAAATGACCATATGAAGAGAAACTGAAAAAGTTTTCTGCTTACGGTCTTGTCTGTTGACTATGTTTAAAAGGTTGCCTACTTACTGCTACGTAACCAGCTCATGGGTACATCGTAATTACACTTATTCTGAAAAAAAAACATTTCTGATAAAAATCTAACCATGAATCAATTCGGAAAAAAAGGAATTGTTAGTCAATGCTGCCTGTTGAACGGAGCGATTTACAAGGAAGCTGGAAACTTTGCGGGCTATAATAATCCTGAAATAAAAAAAATTGAGAGCATTGTGATAAAAACTGATTACAGGTATAAATCTTGCTGTATTTTTAAGTTCGCAAACTCAAAACCTTTTTAATATTAAGAAAAATTTTGTCAATCTCTAATCATAAAAAAAACTGATTTTTGATCTAGAGAAACGAAATTTCTCTCTATTTCAAAAAGAATAAAGAAAAAGAGACAAAATCAGAAAATCACTAAAAAACAAAACAAAATAAAACAAAAGTTTCTTACGTTTGTCTTGACTGATAATCAATTTCAGGAAAACACGCCCAAAACACAATCACCATTGCTATTAAAATATTTAGTATCGCTCACAGAGTGGTTTTTAAGCAGATTTTATATGAGTAGACGACAGCTCAGCCAAAAAAAAAGTCATCAAAGCAAACGTTTTTATGAAAAATTTTGAGCTACTAAAAAAGTTAATTTTACAATGAGCAGCAATCATTAAGCTTAAGAAAAATTTGCTTTAATAAAAAAAACTTAAATGGAAATTAAGCCGAAAAAAGACAGTTAAAGGTTGCCTGTCTTTTTTACAATGAGCAGTTAATTTTACAACGAGCAGCAATCATTAAGCTTAAGAAAAGTTTGCTTTAATAAAAAAAACTTAAATGGAAATTAAGCCGAAAAAAGACAGTTAAAGTTTAGTCTGACTAGTCAAACTTTTCACAAAAAAAAATATATTAAAACGCACCGAAAATTTTTGAGCCTCAGACGTAGCGGCTGGCGCACTCACGTTATCACTGGTGCTTTCGTTTTATAACTAACTTAACTGAGAAAAGGTCTCAAAGGTGTTTAGATTAAGCGCTTGGTGAAGCAACATCAATTTTTTGCGGATTTCTTGAAAAATTGTTTGCAGGAGAAACAATTTAGCTACTGCTGATTGTTCACTTACTCATCCAAGTGAAATAAAAGTTTTACTTGCCAATCTCTGAGGTTTTGCCAACTCATCCAAGTGAAATAAAAGTTTTACTTGCCAATCTCTGATTGTTCACTTACTCATCCAAGTGAAATAAAAGTTTTACTTGCCAATCTCTGTGGAAAACAGAACAAAAATTTATCGCACTAACCATTTTTTTTCTTATTGTGCTACCCACAACGTTGCTTGGTGATCCCAGATGGACTGGTTCATCCGGCCAAAAAACAATTGCCTGAACATTATTATCGCTCTAAATCTAACCTCATTTTATAAATTTTAAATGAAGACTCAACTCAGTCTTTTGAATCATTTTGATATTGACTGACAACTGAATGAAAATGGCCAAAGTTAACTAAATTAGCATCATCGAAATTTTTTCAATCCTTCTTCATGAACCACCAAGGATCACTAACTTAATTCTAAATGGTTTGTTCGTCACACAAAACAAAAAAATAAAGCATTTGTGAAAATACTTTCATTTTGTACACAATTTCTGTGAAACTTTCTAAAAATCCAGTAGGAAAAAGATTAAAAACTAACAGCAACTACTGCTTTCTAATGCCACAAAGTATTGACATGTATGGGGATAATCCCAGTTTATATGAACCACATAACAAAGCCATACAGACCTAACCCACCATGCTACAATCACGCGCTTAAAATAGCTCACATAATCATCACTAAAACTGGTTCCAGTGTGATCTACGTTTCCAAAACACCTCTCTGATAAAAAAAAAACTTTTGCAAAAAAGACTAATCACTTCATCCTAAATTCTTTTCTTAATCCAAAGCAGCAAAATACAAAACAGTTTACACTCCTCATTTCCTCATGAACTATTCTGCGAACTGTCCTACCACTGTTCTGCGACATAACTTTTATAGGAAAACCCAGAACCCTGGACCAAAAATGAAAAATTCAATCAAAAAACCATTCAAACTTTCAAAACTTTCTCAAAAACGCGAGGACATCTATAAAAACTCCCAACAATATATCACACACAGGGTTACGTTTTATACACGTGGTTCTTTTTAACGGATGAGTGCGACCCATCCGACCAAGTTTCCCTAATACGATCGTTTCCCTCTTTATAGTTTTTTATACCATTCATTGTGATTATAAATCCTTTATAGCCTAACCAATCATATTTCACAACTATCCATAAAATAGTGTTGCAAACCTGACAACTTGATGGTACGACCACTTACAGAGTATCCAGAATAAAGTTGATCTCCTTACCTTATCGTCTCACCAGTAATTCTATCAGATCTATTGACATCTAAGAAATGATGTAAGAGTAAGTTTGAGAGTAGTGTGGGACTAAGTACTTGCAGAAGCCGAAAAAAGATGGCAATCAAATCTCATCTCAGACATTGCGAACACAATTTGACCTGTTTTAAAAATGGGAAAAATTAACAGAAATGGTGTGGAAAACAAAACTGATAAGGGTTTTGATGCAGTACTAGCAATTCAACCTTACAGTCTGTTTATGTATGTTGGCCAAATAGAACTCTCAATTTTTCAATCCTTTTTTTAATTTCATAGTAATCAATATCAAATCAAACTGACTTATTATGACAGCTACATTTTGTTGAAGCACTCTCAATATTAGTTTTTTTAAAATTGTTTATTAATAATAGTTAAAAAGACATTTAAATAGCATCTAATAATGCCAGTTGTTTTTATAAATGCTTCAGTAGTAATTCTATCCAAGGCATTGACAAATTGAGCGCGTTTGGTGAACTCAATTGTCTCTTCCTCTTACAATACATTAGTCTGATTGGGTCCGAACACTTCCCCTGGTTTTGGGATATCGCTCCGGTGATTCAGAATTGATTCGAGTTCAAAAAAAATCCTCAAAGCACATTCCATTTCCCCGTCTTTCTATAAGCCGTGAGTGCCTTGTGTGCTTGACGTCTGATTTTCGAATTGAGGTCCCTATTGAATACTTCCAGGGCATCGGAAACTTCCGATTCCAGGTGGGTTGGTGATCCATCACAGATGGTGTGCAGCACTTGACCTCTGACATCATCATCTGCAAATAATCAAGAAAAAACTCGTAAAAAAATATTCGTAGTTCAAATGTCTATGACACAAAAATCATCGTAGTTCAAACGACTATGGCGAAATTTCAAAAAGAAATTTCTCTAAGGATTTCTTTTTTCTCAAGAATTTGGAACTTGCAAGCTAAACTTTATCTTGGGTCGGAATTCAAGGTTTTCTCAGCAATCACAAAAACAGGGACCATTTTTTAGAAATTTTTATACGGATTTAATATTTATATGTTTATACATATCAAGTTAATATCCTAATCCAACAACCCCCCCCCCCCCCCCAAGAGACCAAGTTAAGATCCTCCACCCCAGCGTTCAGTTTGAATTAAATTTGCTAAGCGCTGCGTGTAAAACGCTCTATTCTGATTGGCTGAAAAATCGAACTCAGAACCAAGTTCCAAGTTAACATCCTCCCCCCTAAACGTATTTGGGGGGGGGGGAGGATGTTAACTTGGTCCTATTCCTTCTATCAACTTTCTCATTAACGTATTCGGGGGGGGGGGGAGGATGTTAACTTGGTCCTATTCCTTCTATCAACTTTCTCATTCTTCTATTATAATTTTTCTCTTTAAAAATTTTAGACTAGTGAATATATGAAATTTCTACAAAATGATGGACTAACCCTCCTCGTTGACCATCTGAAACACCCTGTCCCAAAATGGACCCACATCCTGCTTCACCCTACAGGGAAACATCTGTTTCAGGGCGCTCCTCCTCACTCGGGGGTCTCCATGTTTAGTCAAGTCAACAACAGTGTCCACATCCTCAGTCGAACCACAAAGTCTGATTGCTCTTTTGGAGTCCATGTTGGAAGGCAAAACTTCGTCTGAGGTGTCAAAGTCGGTCATGTTTTTGGCTTTTTCTTCCAATTTTGTTACTGAACAAATATATTTTAAGTTGCAAAGGAGTTAAGTTTTTTTAAAACTTTTTTTTGTCTCCAATATTTCAACTGTTATTATATTATTAAATTTTCTACGCTGTTGAAGATTTTTTATGATGGTACTTTTTGTGAATATTTGGTGCGAGAATTTGCTCTGATATTGCAATTGCAGCTAATGCTATCCAAAAAAATAATTCTACCGTAGTTGCTCTGACCAGGTGAACAAATAATAATACCAAACAGTACAGAGATTGCCAAAAACGTCATTTTTATGTAATGCTATTCTCTAATTTCATTGACGTTTTCTGCTAAAAATAGCCAGCAATTCATTAAATGACATTTGAACAATAGTGATGTTAGAAAACTTATTTAATCAATATTAATCACAAATTACCCTTGAAAATTTAGGTGTGCGGCCAGCATGTCGACAAATGTCACACTACTCAAACTTCATTGGTTAAACAAGGATTCTGAAGCGTGATTTTGAAGCAGTAATCGTTCAAATCAATTACTGTTTCTCACTTAAAACTTTTCAAAATGATTTGATATTTGAGACAACACTATGGAAAACAAATTGTCCGGGAATACGGTATTTTTGTTCTGCTAAAATGACCATATGAAGAGAAACTGAAAAAGTTTTCTGCTTACGGTCTTGTCTGTTGACTATGTTTAAAAGGTTGCCTACTTACTGCTACGTAACCAGCTCATGGGTACATCGTAATTACACTTATTCTGAAAAAAAAACATTTCTGATAAAAATCTAACCATGAATCAATTCGGAAAAAAGGAATTGTTAGTCAATGCTGCCTGTTGAACGGAGCGATTTACAAGGAAGCTGGAAACTTTGCGGGCTATAATAATCCTGAAATAAAAAAAATTGAGAGCATTGTGATAAAAACTGATTACAGGTATAAATCTTGCTGTATTTTTAAGTTCGCAAACTCAAAACCTTTTTAATATTAAGAAAAATTTTGTCAATCTCTAATCATAAAAAAAACTGATTTTTGATCTAGAGAAACGAAATTTCTCTCTATTTCAAAAAGAATAAAGAAAAAGAGACAAAATCAGAAAATCACTAAAAAACAAAACAAAATAAAACAAAAGTTTCTTACGTTTGTCTTGACTGATAATCAATTTCAGGAAAACACGCCCAAAACACAATCACCATTGCTATTAAAATATTTAGTATCGCTCACAGAGTGGTTTTTAAGCAGATTTTATATGAGTAGACGACAGCTCAGCCAAAAAAAAAGTCATCAAAGCAAACGTTTTTATGAAAAATTTTGAGCTACTAAAAAAGTTAATTTTACAATGAGCAGCAATCATTAAGCTTAAGAAAAATTTGCTTTAATAAAAAAAACTTAAATGGAAATTAAGCCAAAAAAAGACAGTTAAAGGTTGCCTGTCTTTTTTACAATGAGCAGTTAATTTTACAATGAGCAGCAATCATAAAGCTTAAGAAAAGTTTGCTTTAATAAAAAAAACTTAAATGGAAATTAAGCCGAAAAAAGACAGTTAAAGTTTAGTCTGGCTAGTCAAACTTTTCACAAAAAAAAATATATTAAAACGAACCGAAAATTTTTGAGCCTCAGACGTAGCGGCTGGCGCACTCACGTTATCACTGGTGCTTTCGTTTTATAACTAACTTAACTGAGAAAAGGTCTCAAAGGTGTTTAGATTAAGCGCTTGGTGAAGCAACATCAATTTTTTGCGGATTTCTTGAAAAATTGTTTGCAGGAGAAACAATTTAGCTACTGCTGATTGTTCACTTACTCATCCAAGTGAAATAAAAGTTTTACTTGCCAATCTCTGAGAAAATGCATTGATAGATCATTTTATATTGATCAATTGTTAAAAAATATATAGCCCTTCTCAGGGGCGGATCTAAGATTTTCTCGAGGGGGGGGGGGGGGCGCGAATTTTCAAAAAATTTTCCAAAATTTTGTTTTTTTTTTTAGGTCGACCAAATTGATTTTTCGAGCTCTCCCAAAGCACTGTTTTGCCCCTATTTTGGCAAAATTTCTGCGCGGCAGGCAAATTTTTGAAAAAAACAGTCAAAAAAGCCGTTTTTGGGCACTTTTTGAAAAATTTTGACAAAAAAATCGCGTTTTTTTTTGGCGCGCGCTCCTCCTCAAAGTTAGTATATATTGGCGCCCAAGGCGCCTTTAGAAAAATTTTAGGGTCGATCGGCCAAAAATGGTTTCCTGAAAAAATATCAAAGGGGGGACCCTTTGGGTCGGCAGGGGGTCGAATCCCTGAGGGGGAAGGGGCGTCCGCCCCCCCCCCCCTAAATCCGCCCCTGGCCCTACTTGATTCAATTATGTTTTCGGTACTTAGGTTAATTTTTAAACGAGTTTTATAAGAATTTTCCAGATTAAAATCAAAACCAATTCCTTTGGCTGGCCTGCCCACAAAAGCAACTGATCCCAACTGATCACAATTTAACACATCAATTGAATGACAAAATGCTTCTAATAAGTATTTCTTATAATTTTTAACGAACAGTTTTAAAGACTTTCAAAACAAAATTTTTTTCTTCACTGTTTTGAAACTTTCTGAGCATCAAAAACAGCTTGATTCTTTGGATAAAAAGTTTATCAAACAAGTTTTATTTTTTAACGTTGATCGTTGTGTTGTACGCAGTTTTTTTTTATAGAAGAATAATCTAATTCGAAAAAAAGTTGTTATTATTGCTTAATCATTTCTGTGCTCAAACAAACGTTTTGCGCATGATAATTTTTCGCATGCACAAATTTCAATACATTTTTTGATATAATACAAACAAATCATCCATAATACTCAATGAACTGATTTTTTATAGTCACAATTAGTGTTTTTTATTTGTTGAGATCAAGTTCAATCTGTAAGAAATAAAGACCTGTTTTTAACCATTGAATTTGTCATGAAATAAAAACTTTTGCCGGTACATTGTGATACAATTTTTATTACTAAGAACTGCTAGTCATTCAATAAGCATAAATGAGAACCTGCGTGTCAAGCATTTATTCTGCATAACTACAATGCTAATCAAACAGGTTCCTTCAAATTTCCGACGTATGAACTAGCAGGAAAACGTAGGGTACGAAGCTGTTTTCAAGAAAACTGCATGATTCAAAATTTTGTTTAACCTCTCCACCCTTTTTCTCTGTGCGGAGCGCATTATTTTCCCGCATCGGATTTCTTGGGTAAAAATCAATCAAAATGAAAAAAAATTTGTTCGAAATATTTCAGTTATCAAATATCCATAATTATTATAAGCTTAGACAATGGAATCATTGTTTGTTCCGACTTTCGAGGAGTGAAGAGTATTAATGATTGGGCTGATTTTTTATTCAATTATTTTTTGACTTTTTAACTAAGAATTTATGAGAAAAAAATGAATTTGTTTTGACTATTTCGTCAAATTTTAGTCAAAAAAACTTTAAATTGGCCTTAAAGTTTAATTGGAAAATTCAGCGCCTCGCCCTGATATACGAGCAGTCTCGTTTTGTCATCACAATTGATTATTTCTGTACAACAAATAAACTAGAAGCTTTTTCAATCAATTAATTTTTTTTTTAAATCCAGTATAATGGATAATAGTCTTTATAGTTTTTGCAGAATTATTTGCAAAACAATCAAAAATTTCGGAATTACTTGCAGCCTACGTGAGCTTTAAACCTGAATTCTACCCAAAATGTAAACCTTAAAACTTAATCATAATCTATTGAAATGAGGCATCTAACATAAAATGAGGCATCTAACTTAAAGCGAGGCATCTAACTTAAAATGAGGCATCTAACAGCTTACCTGAAATCTAAGCCCCAAAAAAATGATCTTGATCTATTATAATTGCTTCCCGGGGTGACAATAGATGCTTATCATAAAATTTCGTACTATGAAAATAATACTTATCATACAAACTTATACAATTTCATAGACCAAGACAAAACTGTATGAAAATGTCGAAATAAGCATTTTTTTTCATGCAGTGAAATAACATAACAAGACTTTTTCGTCCACATTCTGGAATTAAATAACAAGTTTTTTGCCATAATTTTCATCACAAAAATTGGTCAAAAAGCACAAGCAACTTTTTCATACAATGAAATTGTATGATACGCATTTTTTCCATAGATGAAAATGCAAAAAAAAATGGGTTCGAAATTTTCTTTTTTATTCAAAATTACAAACAACAAGGTTTTTCTACCACGAGAGAAACCAAAGTGTATGAATTACGAAGAAAACAAACTGAATTTGCTGATATTAGAAACTTAAATTAATACTAACCGTTTCTCGCGGAGTTATATACTAAAATTATAACGTTTCGCATGTGGCTAGAAAATTTTTTACTTTGACAATTTTTGCTAGTTGAGAAAATGGGACTATTTTTTTTAATTTAGATTTATCTTAGCAAATGGAACTTTAAAAAAAATTTGTTGTAAAAAAACGCTTGATGACGACTTTTTGGTTTTTTGGGCGAAAAACTTAAGCTTAACAAAGATATACACAAAAATAATATCATATTGTTTTCGTAAAATGTTTATTTGAGCGAAGAAGCGAGTTTGCAAAAAAAAAGACATTAATTTTTTTTAGCTCAACAATGTAGCTTTTCGTTTTACACTGAAAAAAAATCATATTTTTGAATATGAAATTGTATGAGCGTTTTTTCATCAATTTTTTTTGATGCCAAAGTTGCCCTCATGTAACCAAAACTGACTCCAATTTGTATTATTGTTCTGATTTTCGAAAATAAAATCAAATATTAATGCTTGGGGTGATATTTGTATTCAGTCAATTTTGGGCGGTTGAAATAATAGTTTCTTGGAGAAAACTTGAAGGTAATGAAGATATTTAGTCCCTGAAATCAAATGATAAAAGATATTTTTACCTCCGATCTTTTTTGCAAAGTTCTGGGAGTTTGAAAATTGCCAATTTGCCCATGCTCTGGACTAATTTATGCTCGCTCTAAAGATTTTATACATAATTCTGGATTCAAAACGCAACTTATTTATGCGTGGCAAATTTTTCCGCACAATATAAATGTTTCAAATTGAATTGTGGCTAGCTAATCGGGCGTTTCATTTTCGCACGTCTGAATTTTTAACAGTTGATCTTGTTTTTAACACTTGTCCAAATTTTATACATATATATATATTTTTAAATTTTTCGATATGGATTAAGGGGCAGGCAAAACATTCAGCCTTGATGTACGAGCAGTCTTGTTTGCGTTTTAAAT